GCCCACACCCTGGCCGGGTTTGGGGATGTGACCTCCGATCGGCGCCGGCTCTGGACCACGATCGAGGGACTCCGCCGCTGGGACGGAAAGGCGAAACGGAAGCTGCCGGCCACGCCCCGGATGTTGCGCTGGCTCCGCGAGTACTTGTTCGCCCACGGGACGGCCACGCGCCGGGAGGCGACCATCCTATGGGCGGCGCTTATGACGGGGTACTTCTTCATGCTCCGCGCGTCGGAGTATTTGGTCCAAGAGGACCGCTCCTGGAGCATGGGACGGGTGGTGCGTGGGCAGGACGTGCAGGGGATGCGCGGGGGTACACCCAGCGCAAGGCTCAGCGACTGCGATGAGGTAGTACTGACGATCACGTCGTCCAAGACGGACCAGTTTAACGCAGGTTGCGTACGCAACCATTACCGTTCGGGGGTGGAGTTGTGTGTCGTGGACGCACTCGCCGACCTCCAGAGGGAGCTGCCGGACCGGTTTGGACGAGGAACCGAGGCGGGGCTCCCCCTGTTCCGCCGGCCCGATGGCCACCCGATTATGCGGGAGGAGGTGCAGGGGCTCCTCCAACTCGCGGCTGCCGCCTGCGGCGTGGACGCAGGCCAGATGGGATCCCACTCCCTGCGCATCGGGGGCGCGACGGCGTTGTACCACGCCTGTCGCGACCTGGAAGCGGTCAAGAGGTTCGGGAGGTGGTCCACGGACGCCTTCCACGGATATCTCTGGGAGGACCATCGGCGTCAGGCTCCATTCGCCCGAGGCATGGCGGAGGGCCACGCCTTATTGGCCCCGGACGCCCGCGGTGACGACGGCGCCGCGGCCGGCGCCCGCCCCGACCAGTTGGCCGGGAGCGACCCGCCCCAGTTTGGGAGCGACCTGAGGCCCTCGGAACGCCCGGCCTGGGCGCCCGGGCGCCCCCCCTGGGCGCGCCCTTCGGCGCGAGCAGGGTCAACTACGGAGGGGGAAGGAGAGGAGGAGCTGGTGAGATACGAGCCAGGGCGAGGAGTTAACGGGCGTGTGGGGAAGCAGCAGGCGGGTCCCACGGGTATTCAGGTCAGGGCGGGGGCTTCGCGTTGTGGGGGTATCCCGGTGGACCTCTCGCCCTCGACCCCCCTTTCGCTACCGCTCCCGATCGCCCCAGGCACGCCCACCTCCTCTTGGTCCTCTCATCCGCAGCCATCTCCCACTCCAGAGCGAGGCACGCGAGCAGCGCGCGCACCCCAGCCTCGCGCGCCAGCCGCGCCTCCGCCCCGCGCTCCGGCAGCGTACATCATGGGATTCCTGGTGGGCCTGGTGGCCCCGGACCAGAGCAAGGCGCGTGGCCATGACTACAGCATCATGGCGGTGAACCCCCTCGGCGTCGTCGTCTCGGGGGCCGCGCTGTCGGACGAGCTCCGGAGTGCCGCCCACAACATCCTGTACACGGTGGTGAACGAGCTGGACAGCGAGGACCTCGTCGAGGTGGTCAACCACGACCACGAAGCAGCCCCGTGCATCGCGGCGGCTTGCTTGGCCGCGGGGGCGAGCGAGGACCACGGCCAGCTGGTGATCGTCGACGGCAAGCGGGGCGCGTGGGGGGTGGGCGCGGGGCCGAATATCAAGGTCCAGCGCCAGGCGGCCAAGCTGGCGCTCGCCCTGGCCCAGTTCCAGGGGCAGCCCATGCCGGAGCTCCGCGAGCTCTGCAAGCACAATAGGGGGCTGCTCGACATGATGCGCACGGTGGACGCGGAAGCGGTCGTGGAGCTCACCGACGTGGACGACGCCTCGAGCAGGGGCGAGGGGAGGTCGACCCCAGCCCCGGTCCTCGAGGCGGGAGAGGACGCGGTCACCGCGGCGCTGGCGCGCGCGGCCATCCAGGCTGCAGCGCGGCGCCAGAGCAAAGGCGCTCCAGCGGAGCGCCCGCGGCCCGCGCGGTCCCCGGGCCAAGAGCGCCTCGCCGAAGAGGTCCGCAAGCGCGAGAGGCGCCCTGCGCCCTTGCGCTCGCCCTCGCGCGCGAGGCGCCGCGATCGCGAGCGCGATGCGCCTCGCGATCGCGGGCGCAGGGGACAGGAGGAGGAGGCCGTCTTGAAACCCAAGACGGGCGGCGCCCCCCCGAAGGCCGACATCGTGAAGCGTGAGGCCGTCCTGAAGCCCAAGAGCGGGGGGGCGCCGCCGCGGTCCTTCGAGGTGAAGACCGAGGTGGAGGAGGCGGCGGCGCCAGGCGCGGGGGACGGTCCGCCCCAGCGCCAGCCGCGCTCGAGGAGCCGCCGTAGGCGCAAGGAGGAGCAGCGCCAGGGCGCCCAGCAGCAGCCCAGTGACCAGCACGACGAGGGCGAGTCCATCATCCGCATCGAGCGGGTACCGCACCACGTCGATGCCGAGGTGGTCAGGCAGGTGGTCGTGCCCTTTGGGGTCGTCAAACACATCGCCTTCCTGTACGACCACCGCCACAAGCGGGAGCCGTGCGCGCTGGTGGAGTTCCAGCGCCGCGCTGACGCCAAGCGCGCGCGGGAGTGCATGAGGTCGAACTATCGGTTCTACAAGACGGACCCGTGCACGGTGGTCACGGAGTGGGCGAGCCGACCTCGCGGCCCTGACCCAGGCAGCGACGGGGGGGATGGCCCGACCATCCAGCCGCCTGCCTGCCCGACGTGCGCACTCAAGATGCGCTGGAGCTCCTTTGACCCGGGAGACGGTTGGGGTTGCGAGATGTGCCCCGCGGGCGGAGCTAACAGCGGAGCCCTGCGGTGGCACTGTAAGGGGTGCGACGTGAGCTACTGCGAGGCTTGCCGCGTCGCCTTCGGCAAACCCAAGACGGTGGTGGAGAAGGCCCGGCGGAGCGGCCACACCGTGCGGGAGGCGCCGGGCCCCAGTGCCGGCCATGGAGAGCGCCCCAGCACGGGTGCCACGGGTGCGGGGGCTGAGGGGGACCGCCCGCCGGGCGACCTCAGCTGGCCCAAGCGTGAGAGGTCGCCCAGCCGCAACCGGCCCAAGCGCGAGAGGTCGCCCAGCCGCAGTCTGGCGCGGGACCCAGCGTGGGCGCGGCGCGGCGACACCCCTCCCGGCCGCACGCGGCGTAAGACCGGGAAGCACGCTGGGCAGCTTCGCGCTCCTCGCGGCGGCTGGTACGAGCAGGAGAAAAAGCGGCGGCGTGCTGCCGCCGCGGAGGCTGCCGCGGGCGGGGGTGGGATCCCAGCCTGGCGTGGCAAGGGCGCGGGCGACAAGGGCGGCAAGGGCGGCAAGGTCAAGGGCAAGCACTCCGGCAAGGCCGCCAAGGGCTCCAAGAGCGGCGGCAAGGGCGACAAGAGCGGCAAGGGCGGCCACTCCAAGGGCGACCAGGGCAGCCGCGGCCGGAGTGAGCGTGACTGGCCCAGCGCGGACGGTCGCGCGTCGAGGGGCGGCGATGGCGGCAGCCCCCGGGACCCCAGTGAGCGCGGCGGAGACCGCAGCGGAGACGAGAGCCGCGACCGCCAGGGGAACACGCCCTCCATTTAGGCGTGGAGCCCCCCCCGTACTCCGAAGCCAGCGCCCGCGGCATCGCGGGCGCGGGCTGAAGGCGGCGGCCTGTGAGTGAGCCGGCCCTCCTCTCAGCCTACCGTGCGCAGGTGGCGCCTGCGATCCTTTGAGCCTACGGTGCGCAGGTGGCGCCTGCGATCTTCTTTCTTTTAGCCTACGGTACGCAGGTGGCGCCTGCGATCTTCTTTCTTTTAGCCTACGGTACGCAGGTGGCGCCTGCGATCCTCTCTCTTTGGAGGAGTTTAACTTTGCGCGCACGTCGCGTGCTTCCTGGACCCGGCCGTGCCGCGCGTCTTGCGCGCCGTGCGGTCGGGGCCACACTTGCGCTCTGCGCCCGGCGCATCGTGCGCCGTCCCCTTTCGGTTCTTTTGCGCGCATCGCGCACGCGCCGCGCCCGCGCTCTGGGTGCGCGGGGCGCGGAAGGCCTCAAGGTTGCAGGCAAGTGGCCGCGCGCGCGAGGCTCTTGCAGCCTCTGGTTCCGCCCTCGCACTCGGGCGGGGCGTCCCCGCGCGCGCGGCTGCGTCTTTCTTTTCTCATGGCCGAGCGGCCGCAGGCGTGCCAGAGCGCGAGCGCGCGGGCCGTCAGGGCCCACGCGCTCGCGTTGAGCGTGGGGCCATCAGGGCCCACGCCAAGGCGGAGATGCGCGTCGCCACGCTGCCATGAAAATACCATCGCCCTGTCCTGGTCCCCCTCTCGTCCCCTCCTCTCCTCCTCTCCCTCCGTTGAGTGCACGCGTATCTCACTTAACTTGTATAGTCTGATTGGTTGTAGACTGCAGGTTAAGTGGGAGGGGGTGTGGGCTCAGGTAGCCATTTTGGGTCCGTAGCGTTCGGCTCTGGCCGACGCGCGGGTGCCCACCCACCCCGCTTTGCTCCCAGACGCCTGCGTCGGCCGAGCGGCCGCAGGCGTGCCAGAGCGCGAGCGCGCGGGCCGTCAGGGCCCACGCGCTCGCGTTGAGCGCGGGGCCATCAGGGCCCACGCCAAGGCGGAGATGCGCGTCGCCACGCTGCCATGAAAATACCATCGCCCTGTCCTGGTCCCCCTCTCGTCCCCTCCTCTCGTCCTCTCCCTCCGTTGAGTGCACGCGTATCTCACTTAACCGAAGGTGAAGGAAAGAGGATGGAATCGGAAACTCGTTGAACCACGCAGGTCCTAAAGTGTTGGTGGGACTAGAGAATGGGATGGAGGTGAGAAGGAATGATGCAGACCACAGTGCTCGATTTGAAACGAAAACCAACTACGGGAAGGTTGGGGACAAGATGCAGGGACTCGTGACGAGGGAACTTGGAGGAAGGATTCATTGCGGCATCGTTGATGCGTCTTGGGTTTAGACTGATCCTCCTCCTCCTCCTTCTCCTCCTCCTCCTCCTCCTCCTCCTACTCCTCAACCTTGTCCTCCTTCTCCGAATCCCCCTTGGAGGTCTCCAGAGTGTCCTAACAGGCCCCCAAAGGTTAGGAGAGGCTTCGATGGGCTTCCGTGCCGCTTCCTGTGCTTGGCCCCGAAGGTCGTGATGGATGCGTTCCTGTACCCAGACCCGTCCGCGCCCGAGCCTGTGCTCGCTGCCGCGCGGCGGCAGTGCATCACAACGCCGCACGTGATGATGGTCGGCACGAACACAAGGAAGGTCACGGATGAGGCAGGGCTGGAGGAGGACGACGGGGAGGAGAAGGAAGGCGATCGAGTTCTTCAGCTCGTAGTTGACGTGTTCTTTGAACCTCCGGAGGCCTCTAGAGATCTCTAATTCGGGTCTAGGGTGGGATGAGGAAGGGGACAAGAAATCGGGAAAGGAGGAGAAGGAGGAGGAAGAGGAGCAGGAGGCGGGGGAGGAAAAGGAGGAGGAGCTGGTGGAGAAAGTGGAGAATGGATGTGAGCGCAAGTCGCAGAGGGAGGGAGGGGAGGCGGTGTGGGGGGGGACGGAGGAGGACTTGGGGGACACGAGTGATGAGGCGGATGAGGAGAGGGGGGGAGAGGATAAGGGAGGTGCGCTCGCGCCATATCTGGCATCCTGATCCTATCCTTTCCTCCCATCCCTTCCCATTTCTCTGACTGTTCTCCTATTTGCGGGTGCGAACCTGGAACTCCAACAGGAAGACCCCATCGTGTTACATCCACCAAACATCTTCATAACATTCATCAATGTGGATGGACTCCAGATTTCATTGAAGAGAATTGAAGATCTGGGCTGGATCCTGGGCGTTTCCTCGGAGCTTTGTTTCCTGTTCTTAGAGATTCAATATATCTGGGCCTGGACCACTGTTTAAGAAAGCGTTTCGGGTGGTTTTTATTTTCTCAGTGTGAAATCTTATTAACTCTAAGCGAGGGTGTATTCCCAATCGGAAAACGGTTTTGCGTACATATGATGAGGAGGAGGAGGTGGCGGGCGAGCAGGAGGATGAGCAGGAGGATAAAGTGGATAATGATAAAGGTGGAGGGCGAGGACGAACAACAGACGCAGCAGGATTTGGAGTCAGGGGAAGGTGGTGAGAGGATAACATTATGGAAGTCGAGTAATGGAGAGGGCTGCCAACTAACTTCCAGATGTCTAAAATATGTTTCAAACCTGCTTTGCATAGGTAAACACATGCTTGACAACATGTTGATAACATGTTTTGCGCAGTCTAAACACATCTGTAATTCAATGATCGGATTGTTAGAGTGCCCATTGTCACGGCATCCACAAAGACAAGAAGGGGGAAGAGGGGGAACAGAGTAAGGGGATCAGGGGGAGGAGGAGAGGGGGGGGGCAAGCGGACGAGGATCACGGTAGGGAGGGGGATGGGGAGAAGGGGGACCAAAGTCCAGGAAGTTCATGGAGGAGGACGGGCTGACCGAGTTCGACTGCCGGTTCCGCCTACCAGACGGGGGGTCCTCGGACGTGCCTGGGTGGTTCTATTCGGACAAGAACAGGAATGCCAGGGGTAAGAGCAGTTGTGTTCTTGTCCTCCTCCTCTTCCCTCCTCCGCCTCCTCCTCCTTCGTCTCTCATCCCTTCATTTTCTATCCCCCTCCCCCTCCCACTCAATTCTCGTCGTCACCTCTCTCCTCGTCTTCGTCTTCCCCCTCATCCTGGTCCTGTGCCCTCCTCGTCATCCAGTCGCCTCAGCGCCACCCGTCCGCCTTCCTGCTGTTGCCCTCCGGGTGGAGCGAATTGTCCCAGGCACTGCTCGCACCCAGATGATGATGATGATGATGATGATGATGATGCTGATGATGATGATGATGATGATGATGATGATGATGATGATGATGATGATGATGATGATGATGATGATGATGATGAGAGCCTACTGCCCAGCGCCGAAGCAGCCCAGTGGGCCCCCAGGAGGACCGCTCGGCGCCGGGCGCCCGCCCAAAGGGCGCCTCGCCTCGTGCGCTGGCCGACATCCCTGGGGCCTCCCCCGGGTGCCCCGCCGTGGGCGCCTCGCGGGCGCCCGTCGCCGTGCGCCGGCTGGGTCCCCTGGGTGTCCTGCCGGCGCCCAGGCGTGGTCGCCTCGGTGGGCGCCTCGTCGGCGCTGCTGGCACGTGCCGGGCCTTCGCCGCGGGTGCCCGCCCGTGGGCGTCTCGTGGGCGCATGGTGCTGCACCAGCGGAGATGGCCCCGCATGGCTTGCAGCCCACAGGCTGGAAGACACAGCGTGCACCACACGGCTTCTCGTTGCAGGCGAGACAGGTAGTTACTCCAATGCCCTCCCGAGCCCAGATTTCCCCCCTGTTCGTATTGCCATTCCCACGCCTGGTTCTGCCTCATCGTTTTATCATGTGAGTTCGTACCGTGCTTGCCCTGCTGGTATCGATCCCCCCCCAGTCATCCATGTGAAGTCATACCATGCGTGCGCACTCGTTATTTTCACAGTTGTTTTGTTAACAACTCCCAGACAGAACAGATGCACAAAGCCCCCGCGCGCACATGTCGAAACCACACCGAACACATGCGTTGTGCAGTTCTTCAACCACATATGCACATCTGAATCAAGCCATGTGTTTCGAAACAAATTCTGCCAGGTTTCTTGCACTTCCGCGCGCGCATTTCTTCGCCATCATTCTCTACAGCGCCATTGCCTCACCCCCCCATCTCCTCATCGTCTATCGCCGCCATTTCCGCCATCATCCGGAAACCACCTTCATCATCGATACATGAACATCATCATCATCGCCATCGTCGTCACCAGCATCGTCTCCGTCATTGGCATTGCCGTCGTCACCATCATCATCTCCACCACCTTCACTACTATCATCATCGTTGCCGCCGTTGCCGACGTCATCATGATACCGCGCTCGTCTGAGTCACCGGTTCGCAAGCAAGTTCCCTGCACCAGCGTGGCCTTTGAGACGCGCCGGGGAATTCACATCGGTAAGCGCCATCGCGATCTCACCAGATGTGCCAACCCAGCTAGCCGCTCTTCGCGCGAGCTAGCGCGTGTTAGCGCTGCCGCAGAGGTGCGCCAGCTAGTGACAATAGTGACCGCAATCGTGGCCGCATGGGTTCTGCAAGACAAGCTGCGGATGGAAGGGTGGGATTCTTGCGCGAGCAGTGGATTTGACAGCTGACAGTTCACGGGATGGTAAAACATAGTTGCACCGCGCTGCTTGCACTACGTGCTTTCCAGCTTGCACCACGTATTTCATACCACGTAGATTTGCACACCGAAGACCGCACCACATAGAATACGCCACCATGTGGTGCTCATCCCGAGTTCAATAACCCACTTTGGGGGTCACGTTGGCAAACATGGCGAGAAGGAGGGGGCGAGGATAAAGAGGGGGAGGAAGAGGAGGAGAACCAGGGTGAGCCCAGGGTTCGTCAGCCATGCTGCCACGCGCCATCACCTGCCGAGTCCCGTCATCACGAGTTCCTGTGACCGCTCTTATCACGACAAGGATCTCCCTTCGGAAGACGCGAGCCCCATGGGTCTGCCATTCAAACGAGAGCCCCCCTTCGAGAAGGAATTGCCCATCATCTTTTCAGGAACAGGGAGATTCATTTGGCATTCGCATACGTACGGGTATTGGACACCTCCTTGGAGCCCCGCGAAAGCGAGAAGTGCAAGTACCCGCTGGCCAGGCGTGCGCGTGCAGAATCGCACTGGGATCATAACGGGCGCAGGGCGGATCGGGATAAACGCGGCGCCAGGACTGCCTCGAGGCCTTGTTGGACCGCCTGGGCCTGTTTTCGGGCCTTCTTGGGCTGGCTTGGGGCCGTCGTGGAACCTCAAAAACCTTCTTTAAGGGGCATCTTGGAAGCTTTCTGGGAGCCTCTTGGGGAGGCTCTTTGGTACATGTTCGGGCGTCTTGGGGTCCACTTGGGGGTCTCTCGGGGCCTCTTGACGCCTCTTAGGGATATTGGGGGGCGTTGGCAGGCATCTTCGGCGCCTCTTGGAGTCTCCTGGGGGCTCATTGGGGCCTCCTGAGGTCTTCTTGGCACCGTCTTGGGTTGCCTCTTTCTTGGGGCTTCGGAGGCTCTTGGAAGCCTCTTGGGAGCTTGTTGACGAGTAAAGCCAGTACGATCAACATGTACGTTTCCTCAGAGGGCATTCGACGGTTTTGCCTTCTGGGGGCCCTCTCGACAGGCCTCTTCGGGCCCTCCTGGGCCTCCTTTGGGCTTTCCCGAGGCCTCTTGGGGCTCCTGAATGGTCGCCTCGAAGCAAACTTGTATTGTTTTGGAGGCATCCTGAAAAGACTTGGGCTGCGTCGGGGCCCTCTTGAGCGCACCTGGAGCCGTCTGGGGCCGTCTCGGAGCTCCCTGGGGCAGTCTGGGGAGCGCGCGGGGGCTTTTGGGACTCCCTGGCGGTTCCCAGGCCTGGGCCCCTCCATTCCGGCCCACAAGGCCGCTTCCGAATGTATCTGAATGAGCAGATTCTGCATACCAGTATGCAATTATCTAAGTGTGCATACATATATATATATATACATACATACATACATACATACATTCATATATATATATATATATATATATATGTCGGCATATGCATGTATATATATATATAGATGTGCGTGTAGAAACATAGTGATATCGATATACGTGTACATACATACATATATATATACACCGATTAATGTATATATATATATATATGCTATATATAACATATATATATATATATATATATATATATATATATATCGGAGGTGAGGGGGTGAGATCGAAGTGGAACGGAGAGCCCCCCTACCGGGAAATCGATTTCGGTTTCGTGTTCGTGCGTGCCGTGCGGGCGAGGCGAAGCTGCGTGGGCGGGCGAGAGAAAGTCTCCTGTGGCTGAGGCGCGGCCGGACGAAATGATTCCCTTCCGGGCGGCCGGGGCCCTGCGGTGTCCCGCCGGTGTCCCGCTGGTGTCCCGTGTGGCTGAGGCGCGGCCGGACGAAATGATTCCCTTCCGGGCGGCCGGGGCCCCGCGGTGTCCCGCCGGTGTCCCGCTGGGGTCCCGTGTGGCTGAGGCGCGGCAGGACGAAATGATTCCCTTCCGGGCGGCCGGGGGCCCGCGGTGTCCCGCCGGTGTCCCGTCGATGTCCCGTCGGTGTCCCGATGATGATGATGATGATGATGATGATGATGATGATGATGATGATGATGATGATGATGATGATGATGATGATGATGATGATGGTGCTGATGATAATGGTGCTGATGATGATGATGGTGATGATGGTGCCCCGATGATGATGATGATGATGATGATGATGATGATGATGATGATGACTGTGCGATCGATAGTCAGATCGATTGTGGGATCAATCGATTGAGATCAATAATGGGATCAATATTGAGTTCGATAGTGAGATCGATGGTGAGACCGAGTGTGAGATCAATTGTGGGACCGGTTGCGATATCGACACTGAGACCGATATTGAGACCGAATGTGAGATCGATAATGAGATCGAAAGTGAGTTCGATAGTGAGATCGATAGTGAGACCGAATGCGAGATCGATTGTGGGATCGAGTGTGATGTCGATTGTGAGATCGATAGTGAGACCGAATGTGTGATCGATTGTGAGATCGGTAGTGAGTTTGATCGTGAGATTGATAGTCAGATCGATTGTGAGATCGATTGTGAGATCGATTGTGAGATCGATTGTGAGATCAATAGCGAGACCGAATGTGAGATCGATTGTGAGATCGATTGTGGGATCGATTGTGAGATCGATCGTCAGATCGATTGTGTGATCGATCGATTGAGATCGATTGTGAGATCGGTAGTGAGTTCGATAGTGAGATCGATCGAGTGCGACGTTGGTCCCGCCCCCCCCCCCCTCACCTCCTTATCACCCGAAGGGTGGTCGTATAGGTATCGGAGGTGGGGGGTGAGATGGAAGTGGAACGGAGAGCCCCCCTACCGGGAAATCGATTTCGGTCTCGTGTTCGTGCGTGCCGTGCGGGCGAGGCGAAGCTGCGTGGGCGGGCGAGAGAAAGTCTCCTGTGGTTGAGGCGCGGCCGGACCAAATGTCTCCCTTCCTGGCGGCCGGGGGCCCGCGGTGTCCCGCCGGTGTCCCGCTGGTGTCCCGTGTGGCTGAGGCGCGGCCGGACCAAATGTCTCCCTTCCGGGCGGCCGGGGCCCCGCGGTGTCCCGCCGGTGTCCCGCTGGTGCCCCGTCGGTGTCCCGATAATGATGATGTTGTTGATGGTCATGATGGTTGTGTTGATGGTGATGATGATGATGATGACGATGATGGTGTCCTGGTGATGTTAAAGGATGATGTAGATGATGATGATGATGATGATGATGATGATGAGATGACGATGATGTTGATGTCTGCCCGTTGTTGTTGATGATGATGTTGGTAATGCTGATGCTGCTGATGATGATTCACGTATCCCGATGATGATGATTATGACGGTGGTGATGATGGTGATGGTGATGGTGTACCGATGATGATGTTGATGATGATGTTGGTGATGATGATGTTGCTGAT